ATTGCCAAAGCTTTAATCCTCGTTTTGGTACATAGACTGCCTGTGGTGGTGGTGTGCTGTGTGCATCCTAATCTCTCCAAAGCTCTGTGTCTAATGGCTGCATTGCCTCTCTGTACACTGTGTACCTTCAGTTCAGCTGCAGCCTAACGCATGACGCAGTGGTGATGGTACACAAATAGACTGGAAAAGAAGAAGAGAGTTAAAAGTTTAATGCCACAACTCATTTAATATGTATTTAGGCATATTCATTGCTGAAAGTTGGGTAAGATGTTAACTTATATGATCAGTAAGCTGGCTGTGATCTATTTTCTTTTCCCAGCATAAATAATCAGCAAAAGTTTGATATATGTCATGTCCATCACACCGGTCAGACCAGTCCTGATTAGTTTGGATAGATTTTCATCATGCCGATCATTTACAATGGATATTAAGCCTCAAAGTAGACTACTGTGAGGAGAATCCACCCAAATATTTGAGAGCACAATGTGAGATTTTGCAATTTGGTTTGCCAAACACTTCAACATACAGTCAGAATTTTGCAATTAGTTCAATTTGTAATAGGATTTTTTGAGAAAGGTAAATAATTATCTGATAGGCCCTTTTTCTGGTGATTATTTAAGCTCAAGCTATGAAACCATATTTAGACCATCTACCTGTTATTTTTGTGCTCCCCTTGCAGGCGTGTGGGGGGACAAAGCATGTAGATCTGCTTTGGTTGTGTTGCTTTTTCACTTTTTTGTCCTCCTCTTCAGTTTTGTCCAGGTTTAAGTTTTAACTCCGTCACATCCGTCAAACTATAAAGTTCTGAATCAATTCAGCCTGAAACCTAGATCTGATTTTACATATTCATTTAGACAAAAAAAAAACATGCCAACTGTAAACATTGAAGCATGTGAAGCATGTGTGCAGTACAATGATAAAGAGATTAGCTTTGTATCCTCACTGCATGAAATTTTCTAGTTTGAAAGCTTTCTGAGGGACATTTGCATGTTCTGCTGTGTCATTACAAAAACATACATGTTTTGTTAACCGTTTGATTTTTGATAACAATCTCTCTGATTTAATGACGTGATGGACAAGCAACCTCACCTCACCCAATGCCAGCTGAACAGGTTGGGGAGGGTGAAGGAAATCATTGGAAAGCCGGAGGCACACCCTCCAGTTATACAACATCTGCATAACATAAATCTGTTTGCAACCTGAAAGAGCAGCTGCAGGATTTAATGCAAATGAATGCAAATTGGCTCTGATGATGAAGTACACCAAACTTTAAAAGCACTACCCAATGCTATTTAGTTGTGTTGTAGAAATTCGGCCCATGATGAAGAAGAACTAAACTAAATTAAAGAACCACAGAAAAAACTAAGCCTTCGTGTAGTCTAAATAAGGAGGAGAGCACATTTTTCATCTTGAATCTTCTACATTGTCCACTTGTCAAAGTTATCCATGCTGTATTCATCACAAAGTTGCAGGTGTCCCTTCTGAGGGGCCTTCAGTCTTGACCCTCTCACACCTGGATGACTCTTCTGCATGCCCTCGCTAACCTCTGACCTCAGACTGTCCATTATTCAGGGGTCACCTGTTAAAAGCATTTGCCTAATAAAGTCTCCACTCACTGGGCAGTGGTGTCCTGGAAAATAAACCAGGAAATATACATACAGAAGGGTTTCAGTTCCCAGTTGCCTTGATTGTTTGTGTTTGATTAAGTTTTATATACGAAACAACAAAAAACATGTAACTTAAATAACTTAACTAACAGTTATTCTTACTGCTGCTGGGGAACCATATTTTTTATTTTTGTCAAAGACTGAGCCATTGCTAAAAGTTGGATTTGACTTCTCAGTCAACCCTTTAGTTCCACACGTAAATAAACTGTGTTGATGTGCATATATGTCATCATAAAGTTTCAATAGGTACAACAAGAGCTGCGTGTTTGGCCCCCAAACACTTTACCAGAAATATTATTTTACGCATCAGTTGATCCACAGAATTTCAGAATCTTTGATTGATATGTTTTATTTTTGGGGTAACTTGAGTTGGGGAGGGGGCTTTAAATCATATCTGATCTCTTTGTGGGGCATCCCTTTTCAAGTTGAGGCATCAAAGACCACCAGTGTGTTACACCTCTAATGTGGTCAGAGGAGGAGGAGAAGTGGGAGGGGGTGGGGGGTGGGGGGGGGGATCTGAAATTTTGGCGCAGAAACATACTTGAAATCTTGATCCCCTCCCACTAAGTCTATGCTGGCAGATGGAAGACTGTGCAGCTCAGCTCTCTGATCAACTTCTGCACTTGCCACACACTGAGTAAGCACTGACAACATTCGTCATTCTGTTTTATTGTTGACGTCCACTTACTTTCTTTTTTCTTTGGTCTGCATTTCCCTCACTCACACTTTTTCCTCTTTGGCAGGCAGGACGGAGTTTAATTGTATTGTCTATGACTGAGGTTTGGCACTAACTCAAGGCAGACCGTGCACAGCTATTTTATGGTTTCTTTCCACCTCACTTGCTGATATATAGTGCTGACACATTTGACAAAAAACATTTAATGTGAAGAGTTAGGTGGGGTCCTGTGCGTGGTACGGAGGGAGGGAGAGTTTCAAATGGACCCCCAAAAGACACACTCTTCGTCACACTCTTCTTCAGTTCTCATTCACCTTCGGCTGCACCTCCCTCAGAGGCATATACATGTCACAATTTTTCTCTTAACTACGTGGTTTGCAGTTTTAGTGTGTTTACCATGGTTTATGGTCTCCTTTCCTTGGAAACACCTATGTGAGGTAATCTTATGGTGAGCCAATGGGGCAGAAGGAATCCGTCAAATGTGCTATTGGTGGTTTCAGGGTGACACAAGCAGGGGTGGGGAACATAAAACAAAAAAGGCCAGATTTCTGTAAAAGGAATAAAAAAGAGAGTGCTGTTTGGCTTTGTTGGATGAATCAAAAATTAGTTTGGCCCTAGACTTCAGTAATGCCGCAGGCAAGTTAACGCAACCTCCATTTTTGTATCGGCTGGTGTTCATCACACAGATGCAGCATTAAATCAGAATGTATGTTTGAGTCCCTGAGTGTTGTAGTGTGGGGACTAGAGTCTGTTTTCGACATGCTATTCTGGGGGTAAATCTTTTCTCTGGGGACAGAAAAACACGCCTCCATATCATAAAGCAGATTTCAAAGTAAAGACATGCATTTAGGTCAGGGAAATGTTAGGGTATGACAAGTAGCAGTTATGGTTAAGATTAAAGTAAGCCTCCAAGAATTAATGCAAGTCAAAGAAATGTTGTCTGAAGTCATGGATACGTGTCCATGTGTCACTGTGTGTGTGTCTGCTTAGTGAGTGGACCACCAGGCATCCAGACATGGACTCCGCCTTTGAGCTTAATACAACTGATTGCACACTGATCAGTCCTGGTAATAGTTAAGGCTTCAAAGACACCACCTCAGAGGCTGCCAGCGGTTATTTCCGACCCCGGGATCTCAGTCCCAGGCTTTGGAAAACCCTTGGACCTCAAAACACTGTGACTGTTCATTTTTTGTTTCAGTAGTTTGAGCAACAAAAACAACATCACTGTAATCTTATTTTAAAAAACAAACATATTTTGTAAGTAGAAAAACATCAAATGTGAAAATTAGGGGGGCTGTGGAAAGACTTATGAACAAAAATACTTATGTACAAAAAAAAACTTGCAGTGGTAAGGCTGGGCTCACAGACATGTTTGAGACTGTCTTACAATACGACTGTTTTAAGCATTTACAAAAAAGTTACAAAAACTTGCAATGATACAAGTTACTGTAACATCACTATCAGCGATAACATTCACAGAGAAACCAGTATACAGCCAGTGCAACCATACCCACATGTGTATTAAGTTATTTCCCTTAAAAAAAGAAAAGAAAAAAAAGTTATCTGTGAGAAACAACCGACTTTGCAAACATGGTTTATTTATACCACATTTTGGGTCATCTGAGTCAAAACTTCGCATAATCTAGCATGTAATTTATTCATATTTGATTGTTTAGGAGTGGATCCTGGCAGGTGTCTGCAAAGGCCCCTCCAAAGAATCATCCTCGTTGCTCTTCTTGCCTTCATCTTCTTTGTATTTTCCGTCCTAGCTACCCAGACATGGACTAATTTGGTTCAATGTGACAGAAATGCACTGTAACATGTATTTTTAAAAAAGAAATAAAATGGAAACAAGTGTTCTAAACAACAAAGCCAAACATGAGTGATACCACTAATCACCAAATATCTCATGTTTGTGTTCGAACCAATGAGAAAATGATCTATATTCATGTGGACAAAATGGTCTGCATTATTAAAACCCGATGTGCTGTGAGGAGGACACCCTGAACTTTCCAGGTGTCATGTGCAAGAGAGAACCAAATCCCAGGTCCTCTACAGGCAGATGAACAAGGGCAGGAAACAGGTTTGGTCAAAAGGGGGCTGGTAAAACAGATTAACTTGAACAGAGAGGAGGAAGAGTCAAGACTACACATACGTTGGGTCTGATAGGGTTAAGCCCACATGGAAACAATCAAGATAATTACAGGGGCTTGAGCAGGGCCGACATTGTAAAGGAAAACAGGGAAAAGGGGAAGAGCTCTTACCAAATAAAACAGAAACTGACACAAATAATATTCAAGCTAACAACAAACCACAGCGATTATGCAGCTACACAGCTGTACAGATTTGACGCTAGCAAATATGTGATCATCTGCACAGAATGCTCAGTTACCAAAGTTATCCAGATGAGTCCCTATGCTTCATGTGGGGCAGCTGTGGCTCAGGGGTACCAGCATTTGCCCACCAAAGGGCAGTTTTATGTTTCAATCCTGGGCTGCCTGTTGAGGAGTCTTCATTTGGGCAGCAGTTTGGTGATGGAAATCTGTACGATTCTCCTGAAAACCAGATGATGTAAGGAGTTCCTGGGTGCACTATCATAAGTTTGTTAACTTGTGACAGTAAAGCATCAGTGGTACACGTTCAGATGTGACGGCGACGTGTTTGAATGAATGGAACAAGAACAGCTATCGTTGATTTTTGCCAAATATTTTCTATCCTCCACACAGCCTCTTTCTCCCCTCACACAGGTGAGCTCTCACACATCTCTTACTGTCAGCACCACATAATTGCACCATGCAGCCACCCCCCTTCCACTCCTCAAACGTTCACACAAACACTGCAGCTCTTTGAAGATGCAAAACACCCTTCTCGTTTGACGGAGAGCAGGCTGAAGGACAGAGGAAGCCAATATGTAGTTCAAGGACTGTGTCAGAACTCTGATGGAAAAAATGGTTGAAGTACGCCAACAAATATATGTGCTGTTGGTGCAATTAATTCTCCTCTCACCGGCTCATAATCAGCGAAGGTAGGAGTTTTTACAAGTTTTTGTGTTTTACTAATTTTGTTTTCCTTTGTATCCAAATGTTAATAACATTACAATATGGTTGCACTTTTTTTAACAATACTAGATATTTAAGAGATTTTAGCAAAATATTATATTTTACCTTGACTTGATCAGCATAGTAATGCAATTAGTCACGAGATTTCTTTAAAAAAGCAAATTTTTTCATCTTTCTCACTTACCCATGATACATGCACTTGCAAAGAACACTTTTCACAGATGATTTTCAGTGTGTTTAAACAATTGAAAAAAAATAAATAGTGTGTATAATGTGGTGGAAGTGTGATTTTTAGATATATGCAAGAAACTGGTATAAAAACAGACTAAAAAAAGCCACAGAAGTGGGCTTCAAGTTTCTCTACCCGCATGTGTGCACGTTGATCAACATACCACTGACTTCACCTGATATTTCTTTCCAGAAAATGAAAGATTATTTCAGTTCTTGGTCTTTTGATATTCCTCTGATGTTTGAGGCAAAAATCAAATTGTCTGTTGTGTGAAACATCTCTCCATGTTGGAGAGAAGAGTGGAGTGGGGCTGTGCGATATAATTCCACATCTGATCAAAACAGGTTCAAATGAGTATGTGTGCACTGTGTTTCCGCACAACAGTTCCAGCACTTTAGCCCAAAGTTTAGTTATTTTGTGAACTACAGTGGAGATGAAAAATGTGAGAGGAAAGGCACAAAAGGGAAGACATGAAATGTTAGGAATCCTCCACTAAATATCAATGTTCAGGATTGGCACCCCAATTTCCAAAGGTTCCAGATTATCTCAGGAATACTAGCTAATACCAGGGCAATTTGTTGGGGGGGTTCCCTGGAACCCTGTTGAACCCTCGGTTTCTGAAGCGGAAATGGATTGGTTAGAAGAAAGGGGTGAGAGACTGCACAGTTCTGTGTTGACATTGAGGGAACAAAAGATTCCCAGTGCCTGTTGACCTGACACCCTTTTGTCCCAGCCTCCACAGGTCAGTGGGGAATGCTCTGGAGAAGACTTGGGATCACACACAGCCGGGACTCTGTAACTATGGTCAGGCCACTTCCTGTTGTTTTGGATGGAAGAATGTTAACAGCCTTTGTCAACGTAAGCCACTCTGCAGATCAGTAATGCAACATCTGCAATGACGCATCACTCAAAGGTCACAATACTCAAACAATAGTCAGATAAAAGAAGGAAATCGGGTTAGGAAACTTTGCTTTTTTAATGATTTTTGCTTTTTCCAATTTGAATCCTATATTGGTTCGTTTTATATAGAACATGGATTTTATAAGTTTAATGATCAAATGAAACACTGTTTGTGACAAATAAAGAGCTTATTAAATAATGAATTTGTATTATTTATTGTGATATTCGACTGATAAGTAACATCATATTCATTTATGTACACATGATATTAAAAACATCTCATTCTTGTGAAATGTAGTATGAAAATGTTAATGTAAAAAAAAAATTAATGTCAAATGAGCAATGCAAACAGAAAAAAAAATGTACCTAGTGTATCCAACCCTTTGCATAACCAAATGGCAGAAAACTAGTACAGTCCCATATGGTAAAAAAATTATGTTTTGGGTTTTTTTGTTTTTTTGCTGCTGGGGAACCATTTGCAGTACAAACATGTGGCTCGAAACAAATGGTCATATTGCACCATTACTGCTGGCAATTAGGCAACTGTTTGCTTATGTGGTTACATGGTTACAGTATATATTTTTTCCCATTACTGTATGCATTAAGAGATTATTAATTATGCTTAAATTTTCCTATGTTAATGTGCAGAAGTAACTGGTGTTAACATGTTTAACTTGATATTGTGCCTTGTGCTTTACAGCTGTGTGCAGGAAGCCGTGCATCCATGGAAAATGCCTGGGACCAGACAAGTGCTTATGCTCCAAAGGGTATAAAGGACCACAGTGTGATGAAGGTGCGGTGGAATTTAAAAAAGAAAAAAAGAAGCTTGCCAGCCTTATGTTTTTAATTTCTTAACCATTACCTGTGTCCTTCCGCATCATTTACCACAAGGATTTCTATCAACTGCTTAAATAATGTTCCATATTAACTCCAGATGTGAATGAGTGTGGTTTGTTGGAGAGGCCGTGTTCCCAACGCTGCATGAACACACCCGGTAGCTATCGCTGTTACTGCCAGTCAGGATACACACTCAGTGCAGATGGATATACCTGCATCAGTGAGTAATTTCCTCTTTCAAACCAGCAGTTAAAGTCTGAAGAGATAGAAAAGCTTAGCAGTAAAATCACCATTTGAATGCAAAAGACTAGCACAGCAGATAGAAACAGTACATGTGACCTCTGAACCATCCTTGGACAGTTTTTTCCTTTTGTGTCTTCCAGCAAAGGCTGGATGCATTTCCTTGCGCTGCCAGTTTGGTTGTCGTTCAGAGAAACTGGGAGTGGTGCGTTGTTTTTGTCCCCCTGGCCTCCGCCTGGCTGCTGACAATAAGACCTGTGAAGGTAACACTTCTATGGTTATACATGTTTATTGGGTTGTACATGCTTTGCCCGCTTGCCATGGTAATTTATTCCATTTGCACTTTTTTCCTATTTGCGACTGGCTGTTGTCTATTTAATCCATTTTAAACAGAGGCATATGCAGATGTTTCTGTGAACTAAAAAGTGTACATTTAACTGGAAAAAGATGAGCACGTAATCTGCTGTCACTGGGACTGAATTCTTGCATTTACCGTCTCCGGCTGCCTCAAATTCAACACCAGTGTAAACTCATGTATGTGCACTCCTCAGATCAGGTCATTTGACAGTGATTGGAAGTCATCAGTCCAACAAATAGAAGAACAAACAATGGTGAGCCCAGTTAAGTCTCAAAGGTTGGCAAATGAGAACTACACACATTCAGCAAACAAAGACCTAGGAAAGATGGGATAGCATTAAACCCCCAGAGTTACAGTATATCCAAATGAAAATTGCAAGAGTGTTTCTGCCAGCTTTCTTGCTCTGAAGCTTTGTAGTTGAAAGATGGTGCATAAAAATGACTTTAGTAGAAGTATTCCCCCCTTTAGTGAAAAGTGAAAACAGAGATGTAGTAAAATAGGTTTACAGCTGAGTAAAGCAAAGATGGCAGATGTGAGGCTGATAACTGAGTGTTAATAAGACGGTTTGGTATTCAAACCTTTCAATTCCTTTTTGAAATTTTGCCGGATACTAATCCTATACTAATTGCTGTAAAACAAAAAATGGAGACTGCAGAAGGCCCACAGAAGAGTTAGCTGGTGATCATTTGCAAATTCAACCCCCCCAAATATTGCATTGTTCACCTTTCTCATTGTCACAATCAACTGAATAATGATAGTGATTCACTTTAACAATTTATTAACAATTAACAATTTATGTCATTAGTGACAGGGGTTTTCAGAACGTTCTAAGGGAGCCTTTGGGGTGAGCAAACAAAAAATAAGCAGTTTGTAATATTGGCTTATTCCTTATTTCATGGCAGCTTCCCTTACAACAGGTATTCCTGTAGCAAAGTGACCAGACAGTCTGCCCCAGCATTTTAAGAAGCCTTTTATTAGATAAAGTCAAGTAAAGAAAATCACAGCCTTGACTCCCAAGAGTGTCCACTTTGTGACAAATGCTAACATAAAAAACTAAGACAGCTGCTGTCCTCTAATGAGGCACACCTCTCTGGTAGCCATTAAATTGATAGTCTCAGACTTGTTGTCCAAAGCAGTATGAAATTCAAGCTTTTTCCTCACCTTTGCACAAAAGAATGTAAACTTAGATGAGACAAGCAGAAATGGAAAAAAAGTATGAAGTATAAAGCATCTGTTATATCAGACTGTGTTAAATCCCTATCCCGTTTGGATATAACTCTCTTAAGCCCTTTCACACTTGTACTGCTTTGCATTCATCTGGTGGCAAATCATCAAGTCAGTCATGTGTGAATTAGTCCCAGATCTTTTTCCATAACACTTGAGATGGAAATGTCATTCATGATAATAACAACATATAACTTTCAACAAGGCAGCAGTGCAAGGTGATTCAGTTATTCCATTTCCATTCATCTGACTTATGATCAGCTGTTTAGAGGAATCCAGCAGGCAGCATCATTAAACATCTTTATATATTATATATTGTATAATCAGCTGCAACCCACCATCTCTTCTGCTTTCTTTACTATCAGTACTCATCCAATTATTTAATTTCTACAGCTAATTGAAAACTGCAAAGTCTTACAGCAGATGTCCAGCTTTACCAGTGAAGAACATCAGTGACAAAGAGGATACAGTGTCCTAAGATAAAACCAAACAAATAAATGCTTGTGAAGGGTTGGGACTTACCGTAACACTAATAGACCACATCACTGGATGTGGGGTTTTTTTTTGGCCAGCAACACAGTTGAGAAAAAGTTTGGATCTGTTGGTTATATTTCAGGATGTCAGTTATGAACAAAGCCAAAATCATTCTGGCTCTGAAAGTATAATGATGCTCAAAGTTGAGTCTGTTCAAACAGTAAAAGGACTTTAGGAATCTGTAACACGGGTGCTCTGTTGTTCTGGCATTACCCTTAGAAATAGAACACAGTTCAAACATCATGGTTACGCTGAGTGAGAATTCTCATTTTAGTCTACACAACTGGAGGCATCCAGTTGTTGCTTCTACAACTTAGCAGAAGCTAGAAGTGGACATAAGTGGCCAGCACATGGACAGCATTAAACGCATGTTTATGTACATGATCTGAAACCCATTTTGTTTTCATCTTCACATTTATTGCTCTGGTGTTCTGACTGTAGGTGGTGGAGATCCACAGCTATAAGACTGATGACTTTGCTCGTAACTCATCTTGTAACACATAAGAAACACATGCTTTAGCCAGGCTGAACATTTTATATCTTACAGGAGGAGACTTTAAAATCCTAGAAAGACCTTATTTCACATGCCTGAAGTGAAACATGTGAATGCCTATGTCCAGTCTTGTCAGCAGGGTTTTCAAAACTAAAGTACAAAGAAGTATTTCCCACGTTAAGCTAGTCATTTGTGTGTCTTTTAGAAGATAATTGCTGTTTGGGCAAAGACAAGAAACATTTGGGCAACTTGTCCTTGAAAGTTCAAGAGTGTGTGTGTGATTGTGTGTGAGTGTGTGTGTGTGTGTGTGTTATTTTAAGAGGTGAAGTGGAGGCCTGGGACGTGTTGACAGGAGAGCGAGACATTTTAACTGTAATGGGTTTTGGTTGTTTGACACATTTGTGTTTTGTTGCAGATGTAGATGAGTGCCAGGATGTTGTTGTGTGTCCACCTCGAAGGACCTGCAAGAACACTTTTGGCAGCTACGTTTGTGTGTGCCAAGATGGTTTTGTGATGGGAACCGTGCAAGGATCAGTGGAATGCCGAGGTAAAACAAATGTTGCCATTTCACTTCTCCAGAAATGTCAGATTTCAGTTTGGGTGTAAATCATGCTTCAGATAAACGCAAATAAGAAGGAATAAGTCCAGTAATGGGGTTTGATTATATGGGTCTTTTGATATAACATTAACATTCTGAACAGAAAACATGACAGATATCCCAAAGCACGAATTCCTGTCTTTGAGGCTACAGGATTTTTCACCACACACTCAGATCTGCTCCATGTCAGTGCTTAAAAGGACTGAATGGATCTGAACGCATCGCCACACGTGCTGCTCGACTGTGTCATTGAAAGAGGGATCTTGTGAAGATGCGGCTGGCAGCAAAAAAAACAAGAGACCGTGTGTATTCGATGAGCACTCGTAGCTCACCCACACAAGCTGTGTGATGAGCACTGCAAAATGATCTCTTGAGCAGGATGAAGGAGCCATTACTGAAAGGCTCTTCCTTTGGCAAACCGATTTAATGTCTAACAATGCAGAGCCTTTCGTTTACCTTCATGCAATGTAATCGATCTGCTCCTCGCACAATGAGAAGAGATGAACGTTTATCTGACAACTATTCACCTTTAATGTGTGTTTCTAATCTCCTACTCTTCTTCTCCAAAGATAAGGATGAGTGTTTAACCGGGTCTCACAAGTGCAGCCGCCATGCTCACTGCCTCAACACAGATGGTTCCTACATATGTCGCTGTGCAGAAGACCACTTTGGAAATGGACACACCTGCTGGCCCAGGCGTGCCTTGCAGTCCAAGGCTGTCATGTACTTCAACTACAAACTCTCCAAAAGGACAAAGACAAAACACCATTCACCTTAGTGCTAGTTTTTATCACCACTGTAGGTGAATCACGAATGTACAGAAAACCAAATATCCAATATAACATTACTGAAAAAGTTTTGAGCACCCCTATTATGCTGTTGTGTGAAGCAGGTAATAAAGCTGGAAAATTTGCTCCATTTTTCCTTTCCTTTTTTTGCGGGGGGGGTATTTCTCCCTCAATCCCACACCATTGGTTGTATATTTGGTGTCCCTTTAAATGACAACTTTTGCAGTATTGTGTGTGGATGTTTGAGACCAAATGGACCACTGGTGTTTCCATGCATGGTCATTCACAGTGCCACATCAAGATGACCCATGTCATTGCATGTGGGAGATGATTTGTCCAGCAAAGTCCTAGAAACCATATACAAAGACTTAATTTGCAGAATTCCTTTTGTGTATGGTACACCCCCACTTCATGTTTATTTTCTAATTTTCCAAAAAAGTAATTTGTGTGACCAAGGAATTTGCTAATAAAAGGCTGACCTCTGGTGGATAGATAAGGGAAGATACTGTATCTTGACAGTCTACATACTTTGGAGGTTTTAAATGATGACTTTACAAAACTTTTATTTTTTTAATCCTTCCAAACAGCTGGTATAGGTGTGATGCGCCCGGTTTGAAACATGGCTGTGCAGACTGATGTTTTCATACCTCAATGTTTATCCTCTGCCCTCTCCCTCTGTTATGCCACAGGGAATGTTTTCAGACTCACTAAGTCACATGCAGGGCAGACTACCACACAGCAAGAGAGCATAGACAGGTCAGACCAACCAAATACCAAGAATCTTTGTCTGTCAGCAGCTGTCTGGAAACCTCTTCCTGCATTCAGAGAGCACAAGGGTGGAAATTGAAGTTTGTTTTTGATGTTTTCCCTGAGTCGATTTCAAGTTTCCTTCCCAACGATTAAGATCATGACCCGGCGAGAGGGGGAATTGCAATACTTGAAGATAATAACTGTAATGATAGGAGATGATGATAGAGGGCACTGTGTGTTGTGTCGGGGCTTCAGTTGTAGTCGTGGACGCTTTGATGCACTGATGGAGTCGGGTTGGTAGTGAGAACAAGCAGCTGCTGCCTGCTGAAGGGCCCTGCCACTGACCCTATTCATCCCAACAGCAGGTGTCACATCAAGTCCCCGCCTCGGCCTCGCGCGCTCACATTCACACATGTCCGCCTCACGCACACAATCGTGGCCGGGTGGAAAAAGGCCAGGCCTCGTGCACACATTCACACGTGCACACCACTGAGTGTGTGCGTGCGTGTGCGAGTTAGGGGGGGGGACCTGGAACTACTTACCGAGAACAAAGAAGCGAAATCAGGAAAAAATGCAGCCTCTTAGAATAAATCTCACCACAATGCTGAGAAAAATCCCCAACCTCACCCCCAGAAACACAAGAAAAACCTGGTTTCTCTCTTTTCAAAGCAGTCAAAAGTGTCTTACAAAAGCAGAAATAGAAAACATTTTGGATAAAAGGATCCAGGCCCCTTTCTGAAAAGGACCTCACACCAAGTTGTGTGTAATTCCTACCAGAAACTGGTTTATTTACCAAAAAATAATAAGATTTAACGCCAAAGCACTTAGGCTACAAATGAAGGACAACAAGGGTGTGTATGTTCTGAATGGGGCGAGGGATGAAAAAGGGCCAGAAAAAAAAATCTCCTTTCTTCTGCTTGTTATTTTCTGCTTCTCTGTTTACATGACACACAAGGTTTTTGCATGGGGTGGCAGCTATGAGAACGCTGGTGCTGGAGCCGAGCAGAATGACCTCTGCGAAAGAAATGAAAACAATAAACATGTCAGAGGAATTTGGACATCTGCGGTGACACAGGCTTTCACACCGAGGGTGTTGCAATTTAACAAATCAAAGCGCTGCTGCCCTGGCTTACCTTAGATAAAGCAAAATCAACATTTATCCCGAGAGCGTGAGCAAAGACGCTGACAAGTGCATAGAGCCAATGACAATACATGAGCAGAGATGCTAGGAAGCACTGTGCCACCCACGTTGCTGAAAGACCTTGCTTTCAAACACCACTGCTGAACTGTAAAACCACTAAAACCCCTGTCTTCCCGATACTGTCTTTTTCACTTTGGCTTGAAAAAAAACAGCGTTTTCTCCATGAGCTCCATCAGAGCAGTTTTTTTTTTCTTTTTCTCGAAGTTAATTCTTGTCTTATGTCCCTGTTGGACCCACCTCCACTGAGACACAGTCACCATGTGGAACAACTGTGTTTCCATGAATTAATTGAAACTCTAAAGCTGACCAATCTGACCGAGAGGGACGAGCCAAAGTTTGAACCCTTGGCGTAAAATTATAAATCTTGTTAGCAAGGCGTTTACTTTCATCTGCCTCTGCCGGGAAAATCTGCAGTAGAGTAAAAAGCACTGTGACAGCTCACTGCCTGCAGCATTCTCACCATATTTTTTCATACACACTGCTGAAAATAACTGAAAAAAGCTGAACAAAATAAAGCTGAGCATATTAGTTCTGGTTCCATACCACTCCCAATATGCATGAGGCTGTGCTTAAAAAGAAAGCAGGAAAAAGAAATGCACCAGCCTTGTTTGCTCTACTTCAGCAATGAAAATCACACCACAGCAGCTTTAATAAACAACAAAACACAATTATGACGGGTTTATCGTTAAAGCTTCCTGTTATCTTAAAGGCAGAAATGTCCTCTCGGTCACTTTCAAATCGCATTGCATTGGGTGAATGTGTGTGAGTCACTCTCTTGTGTGACCTCAAGATGAGAAAAGCTCATGTGTACTGACACTTACTCATAATTCCTGTTAAGAACAACATGTTCTGATGAATGTCATGCTATAAAATGTGTGTTGGGCTGAAAGAAAACCTGGTGTGGAAATATGCTTAGAACTGAAAATGCCTCAAATGTTAACTCCCTACACCCTTCAAAACCCCTACACACTTTTTTTTTCCTTCAAATGGACAGAGCCTCACATAATCTGTGACCTGAATTCAAGTTTCAAGCACACATAATGGCTTTGAACTCCAGAAAAAAGTAACAAAAAATCCTTTCCTCTCCTTTTTTCTGCCTTTTATTAAATCTACAAGGTACGTATAGGAACTGAAACAACCACATTAGAAGATAAAAGCAAAAACTTGACCTGACCGGAATTCACTGTGCCAAAATCATTCTTAATATGAGAGCCGGGCAGCCTTGTTTGAGGGATTATCCTCAATAGAACAGGAAAGATTTCCAGCTAATCTATATTGGAATGCCCACTTTGGAGAAGGTGAGGGGAAGTGGTTGGGACCAAAGGTTTCTCTTGGAAGCCGGTACACCATACAGCAATTGGGGCCCGACCATATTGAAAAGCAATACATTTTTGGAATGCTTACAACATGTAGGTCTTTAAAAAAGAGAGTTTTCCGCTGGTACCAACTTGTAAATTTGGAGTTAGTACATTAGATCTGATGATCTGCTGATTGTAGTATTAGTCTTGGAAGAAAAAAAAAACACAATTTCAGACTATCAGCTCCTGAAATAAATGTCCTTTTAACTATCAAGAGAGATTTATTTTACCTTGAGCTGTGAAGGACATCATGGATCCTTTTTTTCATCTTTTGAAGGAGATTGTGATAAAGAAGACAACAATATCTTGAGCTGGAGCACAAAAACATGTTTACAAGAATAGTACCTTGACTCATTTCCCTTTTTATATAAATGTTTACTGTACCCTACAGTACACCTAACGTCCAAACCTGGATGAAACTGAAACTCTGATAAAAATGAATGAAATACATATTTTCCCAAATTTAAGTTTCAAGGAATAACTTAAGGAAAAACAATTTACCATTACAACCAATGTTGTATTGGTTCCCTCAAACTGCTCTTACAAATGTTAGTTGAAGCTACAGAAAAAACGCAAATTCTGTAAAACCAGTGAACCAAACTGCAGCCAGACAATCCAAAACATGCTGTTCATAGCAAAAGAAAGTCAGTTCATCAATTGAAACAGGCTGCAGGGAGTTACAGGGTTGAATTTGTTGCTGTTGTGCTTACATGCAGTAAGAGACTGAGGGAGGGTATTTCTGAATACATGCATGCACATATGTATGCGTTTAAGATCCATTCTGGCAAGAGAAGGGATGGGCACAGTTTTAATTGCTGTTGTGCAGGAAGTCCAAACAGTGGAATGGTTGTGAGCAATAGCCACAACAGCTGCAAAGGCTGGGAGCTGGCTAATAAATGTAGCTCTCACTCCGAGAGCACACCCTTACAGCCAAATCCCCATTTCTTCCTCCTTCCTTTTTATTCCGGTGCTAGTTCAGGTGTCTTGGGCAGCTAAGGAAGCAAAGGGTGGCACCGACACAGACCCGAGGAGCTGGCAGCAGGCGTTATGTTGAGAAACGTATGAGAGAGTTCAGCCAGTTTGGTGTCAATGATCTCACAAGGGCAGCATGAGTGCAGACACACAGATGGACTGTGTAATACCTTCCCATTTGCTGTGCCACCAGCTCTGCCCTGCCCTGCCCACAGGACATAGCTCTCACAGTTGAATTTAGGGTTGAAACAGTGCAAGGAACTTGTTTTATTACTTGAATTTTCTAATAGCTAGATTATATTCCAAGTTACTCATTCAGGGGAACCAAAGCAAAGTGAAAGATTTCCATATTTTCACAGTTTGATTACACAGAAATTGTCATTTAAAGTCCCTTTTCAATTGTGTGGAAGGTTCAGAATGTTGTTGTAGAAGCTTCTCCATTTTTCGCCCCATTTCTAAACACATACAAACCAGACCAAACCAAACCTCAATGTCCACTTAAACTAAACTTTAGGAGGAACCGACAAACCCCAAAACCTCACCTCAGCCTGACCGCACCGCAACCACTGCTGGCAGTGCCTGCCATCACTGAGATCTTCTACACGATTGGGTGAAATATTGTTTTACTTTAGGCTTTACTCTGTCTATTTTGGCACCATTTGCATCAACACTGGACTCTGGCAAACCATTTCATTTTTTTCGATCTTTAAAAAAAATTGTGTAATTTAATGGAAAACTTTCAATTATATGTCGCGGAATGTTACTTGAAGTCTGACTTAAAGCGTTATTTTCAATCCAAATGTCCCAGTGTTTAGTTTTGACTGAGGTCCTGCAA